ATAATATATAACTATTTTTAATCATAAAATAATGATACGGTCAATGTTAAATGTGCCATGGTTATGGAAAGTAGTCATGCCTATATGAAAATTTGGCTAGGACACAGTTGGACAAACAATTTATAATTAAAAAAAAGAGATATATAATTTATAATTATAAAATGCCATTGTCTTTATTTTACAGGTTTATCTCATACAGATTTTACCATATACAGTACTGATGTTGCAGAAATTGTTGATAATTTTGTGATTAAAATTGATATATTGTTGTTTAGATCTATTTATTTAATTGTTTTGCAGGAATGGATATTCTGTGAATAGTCCAACCGGATGATCCCCACTGACTTCCGTCAAGTTATGAAACTTGAGACACTTAGCATCTGATGGAGAAGCACAAATTCCTCTATACCAAACCCAGTGTCATTTCAATATTAATTGTACTGAAATATACTTATGATAATGAACAATTAAATACAGTATGATCCTTCCTGTATTCTTTTGCATTGACGTTAAATTGACTGGTAATTAATATAGTAAATTGTTTGTTAATTAGTAAAAATATTTTTTTTTCCTGAAGCAGTTAATAATATACATGGTAAAACACTGAAAGATCAACGAATAAAGTTTGAAATGTAAAATCACTGTGGTTTGGATCATTTTTTGAGTTTCGTACAATGACAGTTACAATGTATTTTAATCTAAATACATGCAACTAAATTGTTTTCTCATTTACCTGCAATGTAGCCTCTTTATTTTTACAAATTAAACAGAATGATTATATTTATTGAAAAATAAATCTAATAGCTATGGAGATCAGAACAATTAAAAGAATTGCACATTTTCTCCTTTTTGCCTATTTGTTTTATTTATGGCCCAATAGAATGCTATAAATATTGTTTGTAAATTTGGAGTTTTACTCACTGTAACTTAGAAATAATAAATTGAAATAATTTATAATAATAATAATAGAAAAAAAATTGATACTAAGGGGTAAAATGTGTTGTGATTAATTTAAGATTAAAATATAAATGTATTGAAAAACAAATGGATGTCATGTAATTAAATCAATTAGGCCTCCTTTTTGGCCAACATGCTGTACAATGAACAATAAATTAAACCTTTCTCATTAAACAATAATTTATTACTCAGCTTCTCATCAAATGTTAATTAAAAACAAAAACAAATTGATATATTTATTCATTGTTTTAATTTCGGAAATACAGCTTTATCCAAAGGATGCAATTGTCCATAGATACGATGATATTCACCCATTCGTCGTACGTAGCAAATTGAGGTTCCTAAATCTTAGCCAGTTTGAAAAATTAAATATTTATACAGTATTATTAATGTGTTATTTAATGCTATATTAACTAAAACAATTACATTACTGTATGTTAAAACTAATATGTAGGCCTATTTCAAATAGATGTCTGCAAATCCGACGTGAATATTGACTATTGTGCTCTCTCTAGGCTAGGCTTAAACCTGAATGTGCTGAACCCGGCGAGAAAGCATGAGCTTGGCTGTATCATATCGATAATAATACTGTATTTATTAACTGGCGTGAAGTTGGTTACTTTCCATGCAGCACACTTCTGTTGTGAAGGTGCGTTTAAATGGTTGGACGAATTGTGATAGAGGCCTGGTAACTAGGCTAGCCCTAAGCTTGGAAAGAGGAGAGGCCTTGCAATTGTACAGCATGCAGTAGGTTAGGCGAATCAGATGCGATCCATATGGACCCCGTGTAGGCCTAGATCAAATCCTGTACCTCACACAAACAAATAATTAAGATGAGAATAACTACCATGATCCTATCTTGTAATTTATAGTTCTGCCAAAAGTAACACCTAAGAAGGCACCAAATTTAAATCAAGTGAGAAATTGCATCATCACCGTTGATCACACGACTCTGTGGACAAGGGGACAAAGATCGTATAGCGCCGCTACGCGGTACGATCTTTGCATGTGGGGAGGGTTACAGCACAACAAAAAACACATGTAGCTCAACAACACACACGGTGGTAGTTGCTAAATGCAACGGGTTCAGCCGAGGGGGCGTGGCTTGTATGGTGATATGTCATGTATAAATTATACCTTGATTACAGTATACCGTCTGACTTTAGCGAGCCGGGTCTGAGGCTTAGTTTGTGCATATAGGTTTGTGCTGCTGCTACGGCCGGGTGACGGACATCGGGGTCCCAAGAAACATCGAGTCCATTTCCAGACGATTGGGCCCAAAGTATGGCTGGTCTAGGCACCTCTAAGCCTGCGCTAGGTCGGACCAGGAGGCCTCTCTGCGGCCTAGGCAAGGCATAGTCCTCCTAGGCTATGCTTCCAGCAACCCGCAGTAGTCTGTCTAGCAGTGACGGGGCCGGGGGACAATGGGGCTTAAGCCCCACCCTCATCGGACTAGTCAAGGCTCCTCCGGCCGAGCTGGTTAAGCAGTCGTACCAAAAAAAAAAAAAATTAAATATATAAAAACTATGTCTTTTACACTGCTAAGTGCCATTTCCGGCCATCCAGCTCCCTATTTTTAGAAACATCTCATCTCTACCTTCCCTCTCCTCAGGAAGCTCAATCCCCCTGTTGGACAGCTTAGCCTCCCCCTGGGCCCCGATAATGTATCCCAGAGCAGCCACTGTCTAGGCCTGTAGGCCTATGCAGAATGTGGCCCTAGCCTACTAAAGAATAGGCCTAATTGTTATTTAATACATTACTCTATACAATATAAGTTGCAATACAGACTTTGGAAAGTTAATATATTTAATTAAATTAAATGTTAAACATTGTGTTCCCCTTTTCTTTTTTGTGTAGTATAGCCGGAAATTTGTGAAACATTAAAAAGTAATAAATCTTAATTTCAGCAGTTATGTTGTTGTAATAGAAGTCGTAGGCCTAATTTGAATTTATTAGGCCTATTTTCTCTTCCAGTAATATAATTTGTTTATGGGATTAGGTTGGAAAATCCACAGACTAATTACGGTATTGTAGTACTAGTAATATAGGCAATTGAATTGTTTTCATTAATTCTTTCTGTGATTACGGCCTAATCCATACCGCTAAAAATACTAACTAGGCCAATGAATTATTTCACTCTGTGTAGACCCCATAAATTGATAATGTTCCAGTAATCCTAATTTTAGAAAGAAAATTACACAGGGACAACTTATTTTGTGTTACATTGGTTGTACCATGGAGTTGCTGTGTTATGCTACACTGGGTGATAAAAGAGACAGGGTATAAACTGACGCTGGTGTCGCTTTCCGAAATGCGCTAATGTACTACGAAAAATCCATAAATTAGAGACTTGTGGCAAGTCTAAGTTACCGTATGACTTTAGAGATTTTCCTGTGTTAGAAACATAAGTTACTATTGCTTCTTTCTAAAATATAACTTGGTAGGTTATAATAAAAAAAACCTCATACAGTAACTGAAACAGTGCTGACCTTTTTCTAGTCCACTCTACTACTTACTGGATAGTGTATTAACATTAGCATACAGTTGTACTATGCTTATTTGAATACACTATATAGGCTCTTCTTTTTCAGTCTTAATTTCAGAAGTCGAACATTTTTTTGTTTTTCAATCATATAAAGGTAATAGTGGTTTAAGAACATTTACAGAATAAATGGATGCGATATGACCTTCCGTCATGGAGTTATAAAGATCAATTTTCCCAAAACGTGGCCAACACAGGTACTTTTTTTTTTTTTTTGGTCTAAGTAAGATTTCAGTTTCACTATGTCATAAAAATGATTTATTTACTTCACATTATGTTAGCCAGTAGTCTTAAATTGAGTTTCTCTTTGAGAATCCCATAAACCTTAAATTGGAATCGAAACCAACATACAAATAAAGTAGAACCAATAAATTTGTACGAATGACTTTATTTATTTTTTGCTTGATTCCGGAAGAAGTGATTATAACAGTAGGAAGACTGCACATAACATAATGACGATTGCATATAAAATAATGGCAATTACGCCATTGGTCTTGGGTGTCGTTCTGAATTTTATCTATGTTAATTACTTTACAAATTATTTACTCATTTGTTCGTTCGTCCTTTCGTTATCATTGTAAAAAAACTGTTATAATGAATTTGTATAATTGTAAATAAAATATTATAAACATTATTCAATATAAATACATAATCTAATAGCATGTATAGTAGCATTCCGATAAATGAATATTAATGACTAAATTAACGTAAATTAAATAGACCATAGCATGATTTTAAAATCTATTCTTTTTTACATTGTTATGTATAATATATGTGATGTTTTCTAATAGTTTTCCCTACTTTTGAGAGATTTCAATAAATTGTCGAGTATTTCATATGTGCATATACAACTGAAGATATTAAAGGCGTTCCATGACGGTTATAAAATCGTCACCTTTTGATCGTCTAGAAAGAGGGGAGTTAACTTTTTTCTCAGTCATTTTTTTTACCTCCAGACGGAAGCCCATGTTTAAAATAGGTTTTATACGTGAACTCTACCGTTACATGCGGGACATGTGAGGATCGGGTACGTAATTATATCCGAATGTTTGCGGACGAGATATACCCAGTAAAATAATGATGAATAATAAGTATAATGATGAAAATGATAATGATGACGACGATATTGATGGTAATAACAAAAACAACAAACAACAACAACAACAACTACTACTACTACTACTACTACTACTACTACTACTACTACTATTACTACTACTACAACTAATAATAATAATAATAATAATAATAATAATAATAATAATAATAATAATAATAATAATAGTAATAAAAATAATGTAATTTACATACAATATCAACATGATGACAGTTCAGAAGTACAAAACACTCAGGGTTAAAAGTCAAGATGCAACAATGTACAAGGACCGGATGTGATTCAGACCGTATAAACAGTATCCCATCAAAACTACATAAAAATGACTAAACACTTTTGTATTTTATATTAGATTTCATGCGACAGACAATTCTGAGGACTATAGTACAAGATATTTTGAAATATCGTACTTGCTGTTGGCCTAAGTTTTGGAGTATTTTACAGAAATCCCGTTCTCGTCGATTGTTGGTTGTGATCTTGTCATTTTGATTTCGCAAGTTTTTATCGTGTCGTATCAAAGCCCACTACTGTAGCCTACATACAAGGTAAGCCAAAACGCAGTTACACCTATAGTTTTAAATTTCTTATTGAAACATTCTGATTTTCATTTGGCAAGGCTGCGCCTACAAGTGCTACTGCTACTACTATTGCATAAATGATATAAAATCATCACTATCTAAAATTACTTGTGGGATCCTCAGAGGTCGATTCTAGGCCCTTTGCTATTTATAATGTATGTAAAAAGATATATGCAATGTTAGCAATGTAGTTAAGGTAATCTCTTACGCAGATGATACCACTGCCTATTATTCAACTAAAAATATTACTTAACCCATACATTGAACTCCTAAATCTAAATATAACAAACTTTTGTTATTTTCCAACAACAAAACATATTAAAAGAGTCAAAAATATCTCTATCGAAATAAATGGTATAAACCTAAAAATAATGGATAGCGTCACATTCTTAGGTATTGTTATAAACGAAAATTTAAGCTGGAAACCCCACATTCAATATTTATGCAACAAAATATCTAAGGCCATTGGTATCATCTGTAAAGTAAAAAACACATTTCCTGTACATACACTAATACGTTTATATAACGCTTTTATCCCGCCGCACCTTCAATTTGGGAACGTTATATGGGGAATTACTAAACAACACTACATACTACATAAAAAAATTAGCAGTTAGACTAATACAAATTCACATTCCCTCCCTCCCTCCCCCGGTCAGGGAGTGCTGCCCCCCTCCCCGACGTCGGGAAGAAAAAGCACAATTCGTCGGGGAGAACCTGGACCAATTTCGAAACCTTTCAATCGAAGATCGATTGCTTTCGTCGGGGAAACCTGACCTCTCGTGTCGGGGGAAGAAATCGTTTCCGGATTGGGGCTCTGTTTGTGCACGATTATGGTCACACACACAGAATGTAACACCAAACCACAAACAAAATCCCACAATTGATCTGTTAAATAACTTATCATTGCAAAAACTCGATAAGATATAGGCCTATGGTACAGTAGTGTTGCTCCATTTCTTTATTCTACGATTCCCTCGTAAACCTGTTTTGTTTTTTTTTCTTAACGAAAAATGAGACCCTTTGTTTCACCTTTTCTTTTCTAAAGATATTCTAAAGACTTCCTGACCACCTTGAGAGTAACATTCAGGGTGGAGATACATAGAATCTTAAATTGCTTGCTTTCTAAACCTTGGGTCCTAGAATCAAATTCTGTCCGGATTTTTTTTCAGTACCCGAAAAAATTTGCTACTCTCTGACCCAAAATACGTCTTAATTGTGAGACTTTTTTTATACCCTGGTTTTGAGAACTGAATTTTTTTAAAGGTTGTCAGAGAAGGGCAGAAAAGAAATAAAAGTTAAATTATTTTGTTTTCTTATTCAGCAATTTGCCAACAACATCGAGATGGAGGAGAAAATAAAAATAAAATGTTATTGTTGAATGTAAACGGCGTAGTAATGGGATGGTTAAATGCTTTAAATTTATATAGTTAGGAAGAACTATAATACATACCTTATATTTGGAGATTTCAATAAAAATAAATAAAAACTTATATTTCTTTCTGAAATTTCCAATTGGCCAAAAATAAAATTGTCATCAATATTGGAGGGCGGTGGCGGGTATGCAGCACAAAAAAGCAGCACTCATTGGATTTCACCGTCGTTAAAGATTATTAAAAATATACAATAGCCTCAGTAGACAACAGACTGCATTCCATTTGCCTTTTATATAACGACGTCTTTAAGATTTTCTCAAAAGCATATTGACTCCTTGCATTCGATAATGAGACTAAAAATAACCCAGCAGACATACTTCATTCCCTTTGCCATTTCCTAAAGACTACTTTCCTTTGAACTTCCTCAGAATTATAGACACCCTGGGCCTTACAAATAACACTACGGAGCTCAAAAGACAACAGCGAGTTCCCTTTAATATAACTGATAAAATCCAATAGTTGTTGGATCTGAATGAAATAAATTATTCAGAACTTGTTTTTACATGTAAATTTGCCCAAATGAGTTTGAATGTTGAAGTTTAGTAGCATAATATTCCCAGTGGTATTCCTGTCTCTTATACACATCTAGATGTGTATAAGAGACAGCTTTTATCTGTGTGCTCCTTAGTGTTACCATATTGTATTACTGTAAAGCATACAATTATGGTATTTTAAATGTATTCCTGTCCTTCATAAAATATGTACATTATGTATTATTGAACACAATATTGACTCATACATCATCATGAAAAACAACATTTTTATTGACTATTTTTGCATGTTCTTTTGATGGAGTAATTGTAGTTGTATTGCAAACTAAGCTAAGCATGATATTGATCTACGATGTGTATTGCGCCGATCAATCCGCCGCTAGCAGGAGGGTTAGTAGTATTCGATTTTCCTGTCTGTTTGACAAGCCTAGCCAAAACTTGATTGTTTACACAGATGTGGCACTTAGATCATTTATATAGCTCGTTTAGGAGAATTGCTGTAATTGTGGCTTTTCTGTGTTATAGTAGCTTGCCGTTCAATGAAATAGTCTTTTTTTGGCGTTTTCTAAAGATATTCTAAAGACTTCCTGACCACCTTGAGAGTAACATTCAGGGTGGAGATACATAGAATCTTAAATTGCTTGCTTTCTAAACCTTGGGTCCTAGAATCAAATTCTGTCCGGATTTTTTTTCAGTACCCGAAAAAATTTGCTACTCTCTGACCCAAAATACGTCTTAATTGTGAGACTTTTTTTATACCCTGGTTTTGAGAACTGAATTTTTTTAAAGGTTGTCAGAGAAGGGCAGAAAAGAAATAAAAGTTAAATTATTTTGTTTTCTTATTCAGCAATTTGCCAACAACATCGAGATGGAGGAGAAAATAAAAATAAAATGTTATTGTTGAATGTAAACGGCGTAGTAATGGGATGGTTAAATGCTTTAAATTTATATAGTTAGGAAGAACTATAATACATACCTTATATTTGGAGATTTCAATAAAAATAAATAAAAACTTATATTTCTTTCTGAAATTTCCAATTGGCCAAAAATAAAATTGTCATCAATATTGGAGGGCGGTGGCGGGTATGCAGCACAAAAAAGCAGCACTCATTGGATTTCACCGTCGTTAAAGATTATTAAAAATATACAATAGCCTCAGTAGACAACAGACTGCATTCCATTTGCCTTTTATATAACGACGTCTTTAAGATTTTCTCAAAAGCATATTGACTCCTTGCATTCGATAATGAGACTAAAAATAACCCAGCAGACATACTTCATTCCCTTTGCCATTTCCTAAAGACTACTTTCCTTTGAACTTCCTCAGAATTATAGACACCCTGGGCCTTACAAATAACACTACGGAGCTCAAAAGACAACAGCGAGTTCCCTTTAATATAACTGATAAAATCCAATAGTTGTTGGATCTGAATGAAATAAATTATTCAGAACTTGTTTTTACATGTAAATTTGCCCAAATGAGTTTGAATGTTGAAGTTTAGTAGCATAATATTCCCAGTGGTATTCTTTTTCAAGGAAATAATGTAAAATGTTGATAAATCTGCTTTCCTTTGGTATTAAAAATGCTGGCTGTTTTCATAGCAATAATCATTATGCACTAATAAAAAGAAATATGAAAGATTGTGAACAAATTATGGTTCTACTAAGACTCAACTTGAGTTACTAATTATGCAAATGCAAACCTTTACTCCTGTCTCTTATACACATCTAGATGTGTATAAGAGACAGGTGTGTGGGCGTGTGTGTGTGTGTATTACAGGCCTATATACAAGATACAATATTCTTTTATAAGTTAAGTTTTCTCTTCCCGATTCAAAATTAGTAGAAGCTAGACATAAAATAATAAAAGGACATACAGAATATACAATGTAATTGCAGCATTGTATGTAAATTGAGTTGTGAATAAACGATCTGTTCCATAATGTTTGTGTTGCACTTTATGGACGTACGACCGGATCTATTGAAGGTGTATGGTACTGCAGGAATATAGGTCGGGACCGTATTATATGCACGATGCATATGTGTGTATAAAAAGACAAATACTGAATATCTTTAATTGCGTGATTTTCAAGTTTTAAAATACTTAGTAGACGTTTGTAATTTTTTTCTTTCTTCCAATAAAATTGGATTTGATTTATTCGGTGAGACCTTCAAGAATAACCACAACAAATCTGACATTTTTCCAATGGGGTCCTATAGGGGGTAATTGGCCAATACAGCGCGGGAGAGAATCCATACTCTCATTTCCGAAGAGTAGTGTACTGCTTTGTGTGCCATTACACACTGGAACAACAGCTTTTCAGTCTCTTACGAAAAATAGTGCGCTTGCATTTCAGCCTCACAACTGTAACACGAGGAGAGGAGAGCAGCCGATTGCATTGAACTCCCCATGGGTACCAAAATGTTAACAATATTCACAGGTTAGCACATACGCAGTGGCTTATTAACCGCCAGTTTAGTTCTGATGTTCCTCTCTACAAAGGATTTGGAACTATTACGTAAAGTTTACAGTGACAGTATTTTGTCACGCATGAATTAGGATGTAAACTGGAGGTAAACTAAACGTGACAATCAAACAACAATGTAGGTCAATCTGGACTTTACTCAAATCGTACACAGTAGTGTTTATTCAATTCCAGCACGGTATTGTTTGTACAATGGTTTGCTTTTTATAATCTATGTAGTTCTTCCTAATCGTTAATCAAACCTTCTTATAACAAAATCATTTATTTCCACAAAATAAACAAAGATACAAAAGTGAAGTAATACAAAGTGAATTATTGAAAGAACAATAACAGTGGGGGATCCAGGAATTTGATATAGGGGCCCAAAGATTGACTTTCAGAGATGGAGGGTCTGTACTACCTCATCCCCAACATGGTTGTGGCTGAGGTGAGAAACTTATGATTATAGCACCTTTAGATGGCCGGAAATGGCACTCTTAGACTCAAAATTTGAGTAGAAATTTTGAAACATTTACAAAGGGGGGGGGGGGTAGCGGGCTGGCAGCCGCCCCCTACCCACCGCACATTGAACTCCACTGAATGGACAACATAAATAAAATTGTAAACGAAAGGGAAAAAAGGGCACTACATGAAGCAAAGGTTAGAGCGAATGCCCCTCAATCAAGAAATTAATAATATAATTATTTGTTGTCTATGTAAACAAATTTAAATAGATAAATAAAAAGCAAACTATGTTAACAACCAATTAAGTACCATTAAGAAAGGTACAGTTTGAAATTAGACATATCTTTACAATTATTGCATGTTTTTCATCTAAACTCGTTTTCCTATTAAAAATAATAATGCTGTTGGTCGCTCTTATTCAATTGATATAATATGATTCCACATTTTTGATCTTTTAGTATGGGACAATAATAATAATAATAACAATAATAATAATAATAATAATAATAATAATAATAATAATAATAATAATAATAATAATAATAATAATAATATATACATTATTTATAACAGTGGAACACTTAAGGTACAACAACAATAAAGGTACTATCAAACAAAATATTTAAGTGACCGTTTGATCGAGAGGCAATTTTCCTGCTTCTTGTGCTAAGGACCCTGGTTCAAATCTGGCCAATTGGAGTCAGTCGCTCGGTTTCGGTCCTCGAATAACCCACACAAGAGACACGGGGGGGGGGGACAAGGTACACGTATTATGGCCGCCGTCGCAATTTCTCAAGTTTGGATCTGACAGCGATAACAACAAAATAAACCAAAGTTCAGAGCCCCATTCCATTGTATTCTTGTGATTATTGGTTTTTCATCTGCAACGTCATTTTCTCTATGGTGATACCATTGTTATGATTATTAGTACAATTGCTGATCCCGTCATATCAGATCTGATTTAGTTGCGATTCTCAGGGGTTTAAAATTCTTCTATTAAGTAACTTACGTAAAACCAATTGGATTAATATTCCGAATCGGATGAGAAGTTACACAAGGTTTGCAAAAGTGTGATAAGGTAAATTCATATCTTTGTTTTTGTTTTTGTTTTTTTTTTTTGATGAAAATACGACAGTGCAAGTGACGCTTTTGAACTGGGTGCGGCTAGCTCACAATACGTATTTTACTTGCTAACAGCCATGGAGGTCTGTGAATGGA